TTGGGTCACCAAATTTCACACACAGGTCACTCTTATCCTCAAGAACAGCTTACAACCTCAATTTGGTAAAAAAAAATTGTTTCGACCCCCACCCCCGAAAAAGGGTTGTCTTCATCCTGATGGGCACCTTCTCATTAAACCAAATTAAAAAAAAAAAATCAGTCTTATAAACCGCGGATGAGATTTTAGGGGTGAATTTGACCCTGATTTAGAGGTTGCCTCTAGCAATATAAATCGATCGTTAAAACACCGTAACCGTTAACGGTTTTCGAGAAAAAAATTTGTTGTTGGACACTATATATATGTATATGACGCGTCGTGGACTTTGAGGGTGAATTTGACCCCGATGGGCACTTCTGAAATTGATGAAGTTTTAGTTTTAACAAAATTATGTAACGAACGGAGAATACTAGTTACTTGTTACTGCGTTCCACACCGTTTCCAACTCTTGCTCATTTAAGTGAATATCGTCCCTGTATAGAAATTTGTATTAAATACATAAAAAACGTTACGTTCACAGATTCGAAGTTTTTGCAGGGAGGAATTGTGTATATTTGTATTCTTTTAGGATTTAAGGAAAGAAGGAAGCTGAAGAGGTGACAATATTGGGACTTTAGTTGGGATAGTGATGTTTCGTGGAGTATATCATTAGTCCCTATCATTATATAGATATGTCGTTCAACAATATCTCCACAAAACCAAGGGGAACATGTTTTTGGAATAAACTTTGCGTACCGCAAAAGTTTTAATATTACTTGATCCCCTACTGCTAAGTTGAGGAAATATTTTCCGTTGCTTTTCAAATGGGGATTGTAAGCTGTTCTTGAGGGTAAGAGTGACCTGTGTGAAATTTGTTGACCCAAATCGTATTGGTTACGGAATTATTAATGTTTTAAGTTTATGGCTGGGATTTATGGATAACTTCACACCAGTTTCTGAGTCGTCGTTGCATAGTCGACAAGTTTGAGTTGGTTTTGTTTTGAGACGGAATTATCATATTCTTCGCTTGTCTGATCTGGAACTTCTTTCCAGCGTAAGGCTACCTTTGAGGCCTCCCAACTGTTGATTATTTGTTTTAGGTGGCTTTTTTGTAGCCCACAACCTGGTTGGGGATCAATGAAGGGCGTTTTCGCTGCTTCTCTAGCCAGTTTGTTCGTCTTCTCATTGCCCTTAATGTTGCTGTGACCTGGAACCCACCATAGAGTAATATCATTACCCCTAGCGAGTTCTCTCAGGTTGCTGGTACGCTCTCTGATCAGTGCGGAGTCACACGTGTAGGCCTGAATTGCCTTTGCGGCGGCCCGACTGTCTGTGAAAATGTATATGGATGCACCTTTCTGTCCCTTTTGTAGGTTCAAAGCGGTGTAGAAGTGTATAGCAAAAAATTCTGCTTGAAAAATAACTATGTCCGAGCTCAGGGACAATTTAATGTGACTATTTACTCCACTGATACCCATGTCTACTCCGGAATCTAACTCTCTTTGAAGCATCGGTATACCAAATCTGGTTAGCCATAATGGCCTTTCCCTCACCTTGTCTATGTGGGAGTTCCAGTTTAATTTACTGTCTAGTATTACCCCTAGATGTTGCTTAACACATTCATAATTGTGAGAGCTTGAAAGCTGCGAGAGACCAAGTAATGACTGCAGTTGGTACTTTGATCGTCAATTAAATGATTGCTGATGAAATCACTTGAACCACGGAAAGAAGAGAAGAATGGGCATTATCCCACTCCATCAACTTACCTGAAAGCGAAGATCAATTTAATTTAAAGTTGTTATAAAAAGTTTATTATACTCTGGTCCTGTTCGTCGATGATATTTGAGAGAAGATGTTGGAGGGAAAAATCCTTGCGGATAGCGTCGCAAGTCTAGTCTTGGTTGAATCTAAACTATTTTTCCTGTTGTTTTAAAGTTTATGTAATTGCAAATTTATTTTAAAAGTTTTTCAAGTGTGTACTTGCAATATTGCATCTATCCAGTACAGTGCTAGACATTAAAGTCTAAAACAGAAAATATAATTAGAGGCTTGTTAATTCCTGCAATCTTCTTAAACTTTGATTTTAAGTTCAAATCTTTATTTTTTTATATGGGGTCCAATCGTTTTAATTTCAGGCATAATTTTGAAGGGCGGAGTTTAACTGGAGTAAGATTAGACTTTTCCTCACACCATCACACAGCTAGTGACCAGATTTTATCGTCCTCTTAATATTTGCTTTACATTCTATTGCATTAAAAGGACACTGGTGAAATTACAGACCTGTTTTACAACACAGAAGACTGAATAGGATAATTGTAGACTTTTTTCCACCAGTGCTTTTAGTTATCCCAGCATCTGTTTTTTCTTAAAATCTGAAGTAATGCCACAGGTTAATTACAGGTTTCTTCTTTTAACTCAGAATTTTATCAATGTAATTCTCGACTTTTACTTGTAATTTGAAAATCATACTTACTTTCTTTGTCTTCTCCCAATTGCCTTAAGATGTCGGTGTGTTGAGCCATTTCCTATATTCTTGCCTGTTGTTGGATAGGTTCTTTATTTGTCCCATCGTTTTCCGTCTCTTTCTGGCTACTTTTTTAATGTTAGGTTCTTCTCATCTCCATAATTCTCTTTGGGTATCTGTATCCTTCTCAGAATTTTTCTCTATTAATTTTGTATACTATGGGATTCTACTCTGATAGTTCTGTTGCTCATCGTTCGTAGGTACTTCATTTCTGGCGCATTTACTTTTGATCGATGTTTTATCGATAAAAGAAATTATCGTCCATAATTCAGCTTCGTATATTATGACATATACAGGCTGTGTCAGATTTTAATCGAGAAACTTTACTAGGACTTACTTTCCAAAATAACACAAGTTTTTTGTATAAACATAGGATCGCAACTTTTTTGTTTTCGAACGGCCAAAGTTGAGCCAAAACTTTACATTTTATTTTTTATTTCAGTTATAAGTAAACCGTAGTATGATTCAAATTATTACTGATGGCTCAAATCCACATATTAAAGCTAAACTCAGTTTGTTAGATGTTTCCGTTCTTGTGCAGTGGTATGATGACAATTTCCTTCCAATCTCTGGGCATGACTTCTCCATCTCACGCCTGCTAGCATATTTTTTGGATTTATTTCCCCATTTTGTTCCTCCGTATTTGACCATCTCAGGACTGATTTCGTCCTTTCTGGTCGCCTCCATGTTCATTATTGTCCTTTACTTCTTCTATGGTTATTCCTTGTTTCCGCCCCGTTTCCAGAGGTTCTTGTAATGTATTTCATCTCTCTAGTCCTATACTTCCTGACTTAAACTTATCTTAGTAATATTTACTCCAGGTGTCCACTATTTTGCTTTTTTTTGTCACCATATTTCCGTTCTTATCCTCTATAGACCATGTTGTTTTGCATGTATACTAACTTAGACTTAGAATCAAGTCCACACAATAAGAAGAAAATGTCTGCGTTATATCAGGTGAGCGGTGATAAGTGTTTAGTTCGTCACCATCTTGTTAGTTAAAAGAAATGTATTTTCATTCCAGGAAGGGTTATCACACGAATTGAGCTTCTTCCGTTCGCTAATTAAGGTATGGCGTTTCAGATTCACCTCGAAATACAAAATTATAGAAACATTTAATTGATTGGATTGAATACAATGATACATGGACACGGTGTCGGATTACACCACAAATTATCGTCTTTGCTCATATCAAGGATTATCATAGATCCAAATTCGCCAGCCGCAATAAACGCATCTAATTATACAGACGATAATCTCACAGAAATTGTTCAATCAATTCATTCATCCTAAATAATTCGATTGCTTCTGCTTCTCTGCGTGAAGCATTGCATGTGCACAAATGGAAGGTTAAATTCTAACTGAGGGAAATGTGAATTTCTTGCAATATTTAAATCTCTATGTATTTCACGTTTTCTTTTTCGTATAAAACATAGCAGGAGATATTGTTAACGTTGAATTCTGAAAGTTTTTACGCTACCAGTCGTAAGACTTTTCTTCACTGTGAGAAATGATCTTCAATAAACGAAAATTGTTTTGGATTAAATTTTAGCCGAAGAGGTATGTTCTTATCTAGTGATAAATCATTAATATCAAGAAAGTGTGGGCCAGTACTGCGAAATTTAGTAATGAGTAATTGCATGTAAAGTTATGAAATTTCATTAAAATTATACACGTTATATTGTACCGAAATGAAGTGGATATGGCGTTGGGAGTGGAGTTTCGACGCCCATCATTTAAACACACATGTATTAAACAACATGTTTTCACAAATTCAACTAAATAATGTCAATAGCCGAGCATTGAATAAATCATAATACCCAATATAATCGCCTTATTATAAATCGTTTAGAATTGAGAAACTGTTATATTCCTATTTCAGTTTTACATAATAACACAACAAAATTACAAGTTTATTCAACCGCAAATTGCTAATTATAGAACCGTTTCAAAGTTAAACTAAATTACTTGTACGTCCTCTAAGTTAAGTTTTCATAATTATTTCCTTTTAACAACATTTTTGTTCAGCATCATCTCGAAGAATATTAATAACCTATTTTATTTAGACTATATCAACGATGGCAGCTTTTGTGATTAAAAAGTTTTTAGCAGGGCGAAAAGCTGTAGCGGATACGGAAAAGAGAATAAAATGGAGTGTTAAGGGCCGCGAGCATACCGAGTTTTCCACTAGCTCTAAAGATAAAACGTATAATGGTATCATATTTTTTATTTTGTAGTTAGAACATTCACATTGCAGCAAAAACATAAAAGAACATTTTCACCTAGGAAATAAATTTTTGTATCCTTTTATGTATAAGGGGGACAAACAGTTGACCTTTTTTTCTGTTTGATAGAAAATGGAAAATACCTTATTCCATTTATTTATGATTTTTATTTGAATAATTCATAAGATGTTTATTAAGTTAAAGATTTTTTATAAGTTTATATTTTGTAGATTTTATCTTTTAGTTTAAAATTAAATAAAATTGTTACTTACTTTTTGAATCATACCTAATTCCATTAAATTGATCAAAACATGGAAGGACAGCAGTTGTATTCGGCGGCGTTTGGGGCCAACATAAAATCGAATCGAACATTACTTCGCATCCGTCCAATTCTCCCGATTTCGAAGACGACGACAGTTTCTTTTCTTCGCACACGGTGAAACTGTCGTTATTCTGCCTGTTGATGTTGACCAAGCGGAGCTCATCGACGCCCTCCATGAGCTTTTCGAGGACCCTTTCCATTCTGCTTCTATTCTGTAACAAAGCCCTTTTAGATGACGCGTCATCGATTTGCGTCCAAACTCAATCCGCGATAAGCGGGGAGCACTTCCCTCCGTGTTTTAAATCCGGATGTAAATCGGTCGGAGAGGAGAGCACCCTTTTCTTTTCATTCATTGGAATTTAGCGCTGCGGTGCATGTTAAGACACGCGAAGACCGGCAATTTCACGCTTGAGACAGCTTTAAAGCACTTAAAGTTAATTGAAATGGGATTTTTTCAAATTGGATTGAAATTTCGATCTAAGATAATTGAGATTAAAGAACATATAATCTCAAATTGAACAAAAAGATCACGATTTTAGTATTATATTTATTCTTTAGTATGAAGACGCACGGCTAACCCAAAACTTTCTAGTTCTAGTATTAGCGCTACTTTTAATTGTTATTTAGCAAATGATTGTTGTATCCTGTTATTGAACCAAAAGTAGAATTAACACTGAGTGCGGGAAGTTAGCCCCCATTTTTTGACTTTTAAATTTTTCATTGTTTTTCTAGAGTTGTTCTACATTTCTATTTGGCAAATAGAAAAAATAAAAACTCGGCGAGAAAAACCGAACAAACGGGTTTTTTGACTAGCCCCCCATTTTTGGAAAAATCAGATTTTTTTAGTTGCTCTGAGTTGTTCCAGTTATTGTTCTAGAAAATTAAAATTATGGGATACATCATTACAAAGTTATAACTAAAAATAGGTTTGGCTGGCAAAATGTTTAGTTGATTGCTGTGACCATAGTTTTTCTATTTTCAATTCCATATTACAAACATATACTTATTATACCTAACTCTATAAAGGACACTTTACTCTTTGAAAATTAAAGTTTCAGTCAGTAATTCTTACGCCAGCGGTTTTAAATTACACAATAACAATTAAAAAAACATATAACGATCTAAACTCTCTCAAACTTTGCTGATTTAGATTGTTCTAGGTGTGTTTTACGTTTAAACTAGGGAAAAAAAATGTTTTTCTGGTTACACGGACATTAATTTTGCAAAATCAAATCTTCCTAAAAATACAACAAAATGCAGACCTAAAAAGAAAAATAATAAAAAATAATAATTTTTTATTATATTATTATATTAAATTATATTTATTTAATAGAAAATAATAATAAAATAATCAATAAATGAATAATCCAACTATTCGATCAGCAAACAAAAATACACTATTTGCATTATACTTTATGTATTAAAAACTAAATATCGCTGTGTCCCGCCCACACAGAGATATATTTATATACACTATATATTTATATATACTATATTTGTTCCGATATATTAATAAAATAAAATATTAAAATTCGGATAAAGAATTGTACAGGGTTTCCCAAAAGTAACGGATAAATTCGTTAAAACAACTATTAACAGTTTATGGAAAAATCGCTGAGACGCACAGTGGTCACTTTTGTCGATCTAAGTGAGCGATTATTTTGTATGATAAAATATATAATTAACTTTTGAAAAAGTTTACGAAAAGATAGAACACTACTTTAGGTGAACAGTTTGTAAATATTGAAGCATATATTACTGAAAAAGTACTAAAATAAAAGAAAATTAACGTACAAAATATAAATAAACGAAGAAATGCTTTAAGGCAATGAACTAGAAAAGAACTGTCTATATTTTTTTTGAATCCTTATTTCGTGATTCTTGTACCTCTTCGGACATTTGGCCGATAGGTAAAACCAACTTTGCAATTAGATCTGCTCCATGAAATAATATTTTATGTAAACTTTGTGGCATATAATACCAAGGATACAAATTAACATAGATCCTTGCAGTATTTATACAATAAGTTTTGAATAGTACGCTATTTACTTCGAAACCACAGGAAATGGTAATTAAAATGGTACTTATTCGTTTCATAAAATTTTCATTCACACCTGTGATTTGAGAAGCTAATTCAGGACTTCTGAAAAAACGTCTGGCTGTATTGCCGTCATTGGTTGTCCCAAAACCTGGCTTAGGCATATCAACCAGAAGACCCATGTTACGACAAAATTTTTCTTGTATTTCTTTCTTCCTTGTTTCTACTTTTTCCTTATCTTCTTTCCTGACTTGCCATTTACATATCTCTAATCTGTATGCAACATGTAAAATGCACTCAAACGCTTTCTTTTATCACTCTTCTTTTATCACTCGTTTTAATACGACATCTATGTCATTCATTTGCTTCGGAGAAGCTCCACAAAGGTGACAGTTTTGACCGGGCGTATCAGATAACCAACTGCAAATGTTACCATCAATCATGGTTAAAGAAAATAAGGAAGTAAAGTTATTACACGATATCAGATTTGTTTGAAATTCAGTAGTCATTGGAGGCAGTTCATCTATTTGTTTTTTAATGTTTTCAATATCATTTTTAACAAATTCTTTTGTTTCTTTATGAAAAATTTTTTTTACTGATCGGCAGTATTTTGTTGATGATGTTGATTCATTTTGCCATATAACAAATTCCTGTTTATCTTCAAATACACCTATGATTCGTAATGGCACTATACAAATTGAAAACAAAAATGAGTCATCATATTCTTCGCGTTCAAAAACCTGTTTATAACAACTTTGTCCCGCTGCACCATCACAACCCCACTTGAGATATATGTTCATTTTTTTAATAATACTACTACTACTATTGGTGATATGATCAAGCACTTCATTTTGAACGGAAAGTAATCTTTGAATTGTATGTTCAACTAACGATTGGAGCTTGACTTCGGCTGAAATTTCACTAATTGTTATCTCATTTGGATAACACTGTTTTTTTGCAAGCAGCAATGCATTATAATTTGGGTAAATATTTGCATTATGAGATTTGCTCATTTGTTGTACAGCAAATGTATTGTTTTTATTGTTTAGATTTGATACTTTCAAGGATTCAAGATTATTTGTATGTAATAAAAAGCTTTAAAGTGTCCAATCGGATATTTGACTTTCGCTCATTCAAATTGTCAAAAGTGACCACTGTGAGACGGGTTGATTTTTTGGTTTAAATTTCAAATATTTTCAATTTTAAACAAGTTATGACGTCATCGCTATTTTTTTCAAATAGCAATCCCCCATTTTTATTATGGAATATGGAAGACGATTTTTTTCTGAATTTGGTACCGCCAAAATTAATATTAGCTACATAACAAAATTTTCGAGAAATATTGTCTTAAAGTTTCATGATTTCCCATTCATTGGAGGTAGAAAAATAGCAGTAGCCATACGTAACCATGACAACCAATTGTTTCAGATACTTCATTAAGACAATGATTAATTTTTTAGATAGCTACTGCTATTTTGCTTTCTCAATTGAATAGGACGTGTTCAATAGGATTCAGGTCAGGACTTAACACCGGCCATTCCATGACCTGAATTCCACGTTCTTACAAAAAGTTTTTGGTGATAACTCGTCTGTAAACAGTACAGACGTCCCAAGTTGCCAATCTCTGTGATCCAGAGCAAACCTCATTCGCGCTGCTTTAGTTTTTCGATTTCGGCCTTGTCCAGCTCTTCTACCATGTTAGTCAGTCTCCTGAAACCGATTCCATAAACGCTGAATAACAGAAGGGGAAACTCGAAAATCCCTGCTTACATGTCGAACACAGTGGCCATGCTGAATAAGAGCGACATCACGACCAACTTGCACTTCACTCAGATGCGTCATGACGCGTCTAATCAACGAAAATTGACAACTGAATTCATTTGTCATCTTTAGTAGGTTTTCATTTGCGAATTCAAAGCATACTTGACATTTTTCCACATTGTTTTGCGTTATTAATTTACATTTTTAAGTGTAATTTAGAAGTAACTAAGAGTTGTAACATTGTTTTTATAATTTTCTTTGGTTAAATACAGGGTCAGGCGACAATTACATTATTATAATTTCTGAACAGCCCATTTAGTTCTGAACCGTTTTTGTCTCTTATATGATTTTTATTACATAAGTGGTTAAGCTAGAAAAAAGGTATTTTTAAATATCTGCAAGTCTTCTTACGTCATTGCAGTTAGAAAAGTTACCTCACCGTAGTTGGCACTGATTTCAACTAATCGCAATTTATGTTTAACGTGAATACAATATCATTAATTGATCAAAAGCGTGGGAATTCAATGATCCTAGAAGCATACAGTATGAGGAAAAAACGTAGTCGTATTTAGTTGTTTCAGTACTGGAAAGAAAAACTTTTAATCAATTCTAAGAAACAAAAGGTAACTCAACAAATACCAACATAACAAGTAGGAAATATTTACAAAAATTGTTCAAAATGTCCACCGTTTTTCAAAATACATAAATTTACTCGTCGTAAAAAGTTAAATTGCACTCTGTCCATTGTTTTGCGATTATTTGATGTATTAAATGCTAACAAAATTTTTTTTCGTAATTCCTCTTCACTATCAGTTGTAGAGGCATAGACTTTTCACTTCGATGACCCGCAGAGAAAATAATCACACGGTGTAAGGTCTGGTGATCTTGCTGGCCATTTCATTGGGGCATCAGCTTCCCTTCCAATCCATCGATTTGGTATTATTACCGGTCCAATGATGTTATCGCCAATAATTCCAGCCCAAACATTGACTTTGAATTGATGCTGATGATCATCTGATGGTCATATGCGGATTTTCTTCAGCATAAACATAATCGTTACGCATGTTAGTGATACCAGATCTAATAAACGTTGCCTCATCTGTCAATAAAATCCTTCTACTAAAATGTGGGTCGTGGATTTTTTTGTTTTGGATGAGTTGACAGAAAGTCAAACGCATTTCGTGATCCACAGGTAAAAGCTCTTGCACTTTTTGAAGGTGGTATGGATGTAATAATTGTTTTTTTATTACCCTATGGACAACATCTTTAGAGACTTCTAATTGATTTCCTAAGAGGAACTCACTTCTGAATAATGGTTTCAATTGATTTACGCGTTTTCGAGTTATAAAAAATAAAAGAAATTTTTTTGCTAACTTTGAAGTCCTCTAACGGCAAAACGAAGCAACTTTGGAT